TGCTTTTGGTCTTAACTCAGAGGTCTATGCTTCAACCCAGAATATGTAAATGGTGTCATTGAAAATAACACTTAGACATATCTGAGAAATAGAGTTATAAACAGTCTCACACGTTCCAACGCAACAAACCTGACCTTGTTGTTTTTGTAAAATTGATGGATGTTATATATAATTGAATCTGTCCCCTTAAAACGACATGACATATATGCGGACCTCGTTTACGAAATGCCATACTTGCATCCCAAGTACCAACTTGTCCGACTCCCCATTGTTCTTGGTACCCTTAATTTTGTGTCTTCCAATCTCTGGACTACCTTTGGAAGAGTCTCTGGGTTTGCTTCCAGAAATTAGGCAGGATAAAGCAGGAGGTTGAAATGTTTGTGAGTCTGCATATTCTGCGAGACGTTTTTCATTTTGTTTTGTTTTTTTATATTTTGTGGGTTCGCCAAGGCAGTGCTTCCTTTGTGGGTTCGACTCGGCAGCTCTTCCTAGCAGAAAGTCACGTTCCCTGTCTGGGCTGCGTGTTAACAGGGCACGGACTCTGAGTTGATGATTGGCGTAAGGATCAAATGAGACAAAGTGTCCTTAACACTCACTCACTCACTCACTCACTCACTCACTCACTCACTCACTCACTCACTCACTCACTCACTCATCACTCACTCACTCACTCACTCACTCACTCACTCACTCACTCACTCACTCACTCACTCACTCACTCACCCCCTCACTCACTCACTCACTCACTCACTCACTTAGGTACTACAAAACGATTCCCCACATGGGTACAATATGTGAAGCCCATTTCTGATGTCCCCCGCCGTGATATTGCTGGAATATTGCTAAAAGCGGCGTAAAATCACACTCACTCACTCAATACAAAACGAGAACATTCTTCTTGTATTACAGAACAGAAACTGTTTTATTGTAAAAACGTCTCTCTTTTTTTACAGAACAGAACCAGTGTGATATCACAAGATCATTCGAGATACAACGGTTACATCATAATCTGTGGTCAATCGCCACGTTACAACGTGTGATCACGCGAACCCAAGTCATTGCCACAAGAGAACTACTTATAAACCTACTATACAAACAGGTTCTACCTGTAGTTTGTCGAAGCGGGGTCACAAGTAGCAATGGCTTCGTTGGAATTCTTAATCATGTATAATTTGGAATAGGAAAGTATGGAAATAGGAATATAACTGAAACAGTTTGGTGTTACTTGTACCCGGTGTTGTCTCGCTAGGAAAATACCTATATTACCAAAACTTTATCCGAAAAACGTGAATGTTTAAAGGATTTATACATAGACATGTAGAGAGTCAATATAGAATGCCAGAGAAATTTAGATCCGAAATGACATTTTTACACTTCTGACGATCCTGTTTTTGAGATAAGTATATTCCTTGGACTGCCTGAAGAAGGACGGTCTACAGCACTTGTCTAACAATGGCCACACTCCCAACGGAGAGAACTATCCCAATGGTCGATGACGTCACAGCGCTGGCCGTGCCCTGAAACATGTAATCCAATATTGTTAATTTAATGTTGCACTCATACTTTATGAAATATACTATTTTTTTCTAATTGTACTGGCCTATATTTTGGAACATCTTGTGCATCAACATCAATACCTGAATCGTGAAATGCAGTTTCATAAAGTTATTATTTCCTCGAACTTTCTGAAACAAACTATGTTTCATGAAGTGTACTTGTCTATATTTTATGACATCTTTTGAATCTATAACATGAACCCATGTCTGAAGCATGTGACAGAGTATTAACCCTGTAAGTGGATCAGTAAATCTCCTGTGGAGTATACACTATAAAACTAGTCAGAAAAGCTGAAAGGTGGTGAAGCCAGCCATTCACATCTACGCCCACCCACTATCTAATCAACCCACCCACACTTTCTACCTAGAACAGTGAATTCTACAACATATTGGAAATGTACTTACTTTGGAGGGCGTTGTACTCCCCTGAAACAACATCAAACATATACATACACACAGATATACACGTAACTGGCCTTGTTTCGAATCACAATCTTGGCATGTTATAAATCACATTCATTCCACCAACAGTGTTTAATGATTGACTTGGTGTCAGGTTCGTTTCCATGATGAGTACAATGTAAGTTGATGATTACTGGTGATCCTCAGATAACTGAGGGAACTAAACCTCGAGTACATCTATTTTCAGTCACTCTCTGTAACATATAGCATACCATGACTATCCCATCCTAGTATATCAGGACATATGTCTTCATCAAAATCAGGGCGGTGGGGTAGCCTAGTGGTTAAACCTTTCGCTCGTCACGCCGAAGACCCGGGTTTGATTCCCCACATGGGTACAATGTTTGAAGCCCATTTCTGGTGTCTGATATTGCTGGAATCTTGCTAAAGGCGGCGTAAAAATATACTCACTCACTCACTACTTACTTACTTACTTAATTCCACTTGGAGCCTAAGTGATACGATTTCGACATTCATTATCAGTAAAATAGAAACAAAAATATTCTTTTATTCTTTATCTCATCTGAGCATACCTTACTATGGTCTTCATGCTATGACAAACTCTCTATCGGTTGAGTTTACAGAGTGACAATTTTTTCCTGTTGCCTGTTGCGGAACTCAAATAAGGCTTTAACACGTACATTTATTCATTGTATTCATGCTTGAAATCAGACCTTGCGTGTCACAAGGGTTTAATAAGCACAAGAATGTTCTATGGGTTTATATATACTGAAGGAAAAATAAGGGATCACATGAAAGCGTTGTATGACTTTTGAGGAAACCTTGAAACAAATATAGGAACACTTGTGCTTTCATGTGTTCCCTTATTTTTTTCCCTCATTTGGAAAGACCAACAAGCAGTTGGTAGCAAAAGTGTACACTTACGCTCTTTGGAGTAGTTGACCCCTGTAGGAAAGAAGACATTCGGTTAGTGAAAGCTTTATGGATTTATATATACTGAGGGAAAAAACAAGGGATCACATGAAAGCACAAGTGTTCCTTTATTTTTTTCCAGGTTTCTCCACAAACGTTGTATCGTTTGTGAGGAAACCTGGAAACAAATAAAGGAACACTTGTGCTTTCATGTGATCCCTTATTTTTTCCCCCTCATTTGGAAAGACCAACAATCAGTTGGTAGCAAAAGTGTACACTTACGCTCTTTGGAGTAGTTGGCGAAAGAAGACATTCGGTTAGTGAAAGCTTTCGAGATGGACACATACATGTGCTATACAAAGCCACTTACTATGCTTTCATTAATATAGGTCAGATGCTGAAACCTTCAGTGATGAATACTGACACGTTGTGAATTAAACACAAGTGGTATTCAAATGAAAACACTGTTTATACACCCTTTCAGTGGGCAATCGATAAAGTCATCGTTGTTAACGCGCAGTCATCAACGGTCCTGCTACAACACGGTGGGTGGAACTCAAATAAGGCTTTAACACGTACATCTATGTATTGAATTCATTAGGGGTGTAAGGTCTTACACGACGCGAGTTTAATAAGCGCTAGGTGGTTTTCCATGGTTTAGGTGGACAGGCATGACATGAACCCCCTTTATCAGTGCTTCTAAAGGTTTTAGCGATCCTGATCTCAAAATGACAACATTACATACATAAATTCTCATTATTAATAATTACATTAAGTTCAACTTTTAATAAAAACTTTTAATAATTTTAATATAAATGTTTGAAGAGACATCGTAACAACCAATTGGATGCAAAATGTACACTTACGGTCGTTGATGAATCTGTTTCCTGTAGGAATAAAAAAAATCAGTTTGGAAGTTTCAAAACGTTCACGATTGATACATACATGTGCCTATGCAAAGCCACTTATAATGTCTGCATCAATATGGGTCGGCTGCTTTAACATTCAGAGGTATGTTCTGACACATTGTGAATACATAACAAGTGGTATTCTAATGAAAGCACTGGATGCATCTTTTCAGTGTGAATTCGATGACGTCAACGTTGTTTAACGCCGTATTCAGCAATGTTCCAGCTACAACACGGTTTGACCAAACAAACTGGTGACTGAAAAGATTATTACAATCGGGATGTGCAAACACCTAGACGGTTCCAAACGTTAGCAGCTTCCTTTCGCTTGGGATTTGATCTGTCCCGAAATGCCCACATCCATTCATTCTCGACTAAGGTACAGTTGTGTGTACACTATTTCAACCAATGTACAGACGATAGTGAATGCGTTCCGTTATGTAAAACATACTTTCATGTGTTAAGGTACTGGGAGCTGACACTCAGATTAGAAGCATTGGTTCATGGATGTGAATGATACAAACCACTCTTCAATGGCATACAGTTGTTTTTATCATGCGCATATGAGAAGTATTTTAGGCTCAATACGTTTTGATAGCCAAACTACAAAAATATATATTTTTTAAAAGAAAATGGGTCGGAAAACGTTCGTGGGAAATTCCGCGATAATAACAGACCAAAAAATCGTAGCAACATTTGAAGAAAGACAGAAATCTGATAACATTAATGAAATTATTGAAGACACTAGTATAATTAGACAATATTCCATGTTATAATCAACTCTCGTGAAGAAATTATCCTGAACGAATTTCATTTTGTAATCAAGTTTAGTCACACGAAAGCCATTCTGACAAATCTCAATCCTGGAATATAACCTTAAATTGAAATTTGCATTTAAATTATCAAAGAAGACGTCATTCATCTTTCCAGAATTCCCTAATCCATGACGAACGTGAAATACACTCGCTTTTAAACAGTATGACACTTTATAAAGTATCTCGAAGTGATTTAAATATTTTGAAATAATGGGCATATGGAATTCGTCCATAATAAAATCACCAATAGATCGATCCCACTAAAAGTATATTTGCACTTCAGTCCCCACGGAAACCGCCCCGATCAGCACATCAGTATATATAAGGATAAGACATGATTGGTATGGGTAAGTCCTCATGTGTTACATACTTACTAATGTTGTTGATGTGGTGGTTGTTGATGTTGATGATGAATCTGAAAAAGAACATTTGCATGTTAGGAAATCTGGTTGTTTAAATTCTTAAAAATTTCAATTCTAATGGAGAAAAAAACAAATTTACTAATATATTCAGGCTGTTGTGTTTAATTCCTTAATCTACAATATTCCAGCTATATCTCGGGGAAAGGGCATGTAAATACTGGAATCTATGCCAAGTAAACCAGTGGTTAATAACATGAACATGTCGTGTTGTCATGGTGCTATAACACCACAAACCCTGGGTTAAATGATTATGGCTCCACTAGTTAGTGCAGAGTTAAACCTACAAGCAAACGTTGTATACACGCTTACAAGCAAACACTGTATACATGCCTACAAGCAAACGTTGTATACATACCTACAAACAAACGTAATATAAAAGCCTACTAGCAAACGTTGTATACACGCCCACAAGCAAACGTTGTATACACGCCTACAAGCAAACGTTGTATACAAGCCTATATAAGCAAACGTTGTATACAAGCCTACAAGCAAACGTTGTATACAAGCCTACAAGTAAACGCTGTATACAAGCCTACAAGCAAACGCTGTATGCACGCTTACAAGCAAACGTTGTATACAAGCCTACAAACAAACGTTGTAAACAGGCCTACAAGCAAACGTTTTACACAAGCCTACAAGTAAACGCTGTATACAAGCCTACAAGCAAACGTTGCGTACAGGCCTACAAGTAAACGTTGTATACAAGCCTACAAGAAAACGTTGTATACAAGCCTACAAGCAAACGTTGTATACAAGCCTACAAGTAAACCTTGTATACAAGCCTACAATTAAACGTTGTATGCAAGCCTACAAGCAAAGGTTGTATACAAGCCTACAAGCAGACGCTGTATACAAGCCTACAAGCAGACGTTGTATACAAACCTACAAGCAGGCGTTGTATACAAGCCTACAAGCAAAGGTTGTATACGAGCCTACAAACAAACGCTGTATACAAGCCTACAAGCAGACGCTGTATGCAAGCCTACAAGCAGACGTTGTATACAAACCTACAAGCAGGCGTTGTATACAAGCCTACAAGCAGACGTTGTATACAAGCCTACAAGCAAATGCTGTATACAAGCCTACAAGCAGACGCTGTATACAAGCCTACGAGTACTGATAGTTGTACTGCAGCGTTGTATAAATGAAATCTTCATTTTTATTTTGAGAGTATTGTTGTTCAAACAGTCTAAGATGTCCAAGTGTCCTTTGAGAGATTGCTTCCCTTAGACATGCCCGGATTCTGTATCCCATCCCATTCTCAACCATGATAACTTCTTTAAGTAGCAGCCATGATGGTGTGATTAAATAATGTCCAAAGTGGGATTAAACAAGCGTCACTCTCTAGATTCTGTTATCCTCTTTCAAACAATTCATGATTATCATAATTCCATTACGAAAGTTTGATATGAAATTATTTTTTAGCATCATTTAAGTAAGTTATACATGATATTATAATGGTGCACATCGAACCACACTTACCATCTGCCCGTGTCATCATCACGGCCACGCCGACTATCAGCACCAACAGTGGAATGATGGCTCGCATTGTCAGGTCTTACTTGAAAGTAGGAATGATCTGAAAACGAAACACTCGATATATACTCAGATCGCTGCGTGATTACAGAAAAGGCATGTTCTGTCATTTCACGGACAGTCTTCAAAAAAGGCCAATAATGGTAATGTAAAAGGACCCATGTAGGTTATCACGCGAGTGTGATTTGGGATGGTTAATATCCTGCATTAGGAATAATCATTGTATTTAGCGAGCCTTGATAACCTATTTATCATACAATGTCATTTTTGCCTTCTAACTTACAAAAATGCCATTTCAAATGCCACAAATCATGAAACTAAACTTCATGGAATGTCTATGACGTCACAAATATGTGAGGATTTATACGTCACGTCACAAGCCCGGTGACATCATTTTCTCCTGACCACCCAGCTGACTGTGATAGGTCATCTAGTTCCCAGTAAGCTTTTATGCTAAATCACGTATTGTTATCAACAAATCTTAGCTTACGTTTAAAAAATAACAACAAACTCGCGTGGAACTTCAAAAACCTTCAGTTAACCTTTTGAACAACAAAATACGCTTTAATGTTAGCGTGACATTGTGCACCTGGATTCCTATGCCGTTCTCTCGCTAACACTGACAGTCGGTCGGGGAACTGACGTTGGTATCTTCGTAAGCCTATGTATTTCTATCTTCGCTTTGTAATCTACTCCATCTATCATAACCAGGCATGAATTTTCTTGGAAAAAATCACTGACAGTACAGTAAACACGGCCGTCAAACCGGATACGACCTTGACGCCATGTTTGTTTACCTGAAATTTGCATATAATCTCTCTAATTTGCATCGATATCCGTACACGACCCCAACGGATACCGAAAATATCCGTTGGCTTTATCCTGCCGAGAACACTATCCATTGTGTGATAAATAAAGATACTGGCTGATGTTTTGACATAACCTGTTTAGAATACCTTATGACATTTTTGTTTGTAAATGTTTAGCAGGACATGCTTACCCTTTTCTAAAACACCAGGTGTTATAAATGATTTTCATTTGTATAATTGTCACAGCTAGTTTACATTTAAAAAAATAATAATCATCTTTATGAAACATCTTTACAAGCATCCAGTGATTGTTGATTCGCTACAACAAATGTCTATGGACAAAAGACAGCTGCATAGAATATAATATGATGATAAGCATGATAGAATTTGAAATTCTCTGATGGCAATGCCCTTGAAGATCTAGGTTAGAATTGGTCTTCAGCAACCCAAGCTTGTCGTAAGAAGCGACAAACGGAATTGGGTGGTCAGGCTCGCTGACTTGGTTGACGCATGCCATCGCATCCCAATTGCGTAGATCGATACTCATGATGTTGATCACTGGGTTATCTGGCCCAGACTCGATTATTTACCGACTGCTGCCAAATAGCTGGAATATCTGTGAGTGCGGCGTTAAACAACAAACTAGCACACACATCTGATGACAATGGCCAGGTTGTTCCAATGAGAGGCAGATACAGAGGAGAAAGTTCTCAAAATGACTTAAAGAACAAAATACAACAGGGTGTTGTTTGATCTGAGAGATCAGCTGAGTACATATGGTTTGACAAGGTCTCTCAGATATGATGGTACACCAAATGGAATCAGAATCTGAGGGTAGGCAAGACTGGGTATTCAGTTGCACTGACGTAATACATCTCACTTACCCTGCAGTAACTCCTCCAATCAACCCCTCCGCTTGAGAAACTATGAAAATTGTCCATTATAACATACCTGAGTAACTACGCGTCCCCTGCGGTCGTCCTCCTGTCTTCCCCTGTTGGGATACTTGGGCGGGACGACAGTCCTTTTTAAATGGTGTTTGGGTTGTTTCACTTTTCAAAATAGGGTGACTTTTGTCAATTAATATTAAAGTCTGTAGGACGCAGTGTCCAGTATCAAAGTTTAAACATTTTTAAATTTGGGTTAACGACACCCCTTTCTCTTGAATGAGTTAGTCAGACGATTATTGTTCATAGTAACTCTCGATATCGAGTTTGTTTACCGCTGCCTTGGAAACACAATAACAAATCAATGTGTATCACTCAACAGGCACATGTTAATAAAATTTTATTTATTTTTTTGTAAATTACGATTCTTGACCACCTTTACGTGACATAAGTAAGGGCAATGTTTAATTGATCAGGGGAATGTGTTCATTATTGTGGACGTTTCACGTAGTGATCACGTGTTTAAATATATGTGTACATATTGTACCTAGTCATTACTCCCAGCGGATTGTGCAAAAATGGGGACAGTTAGTTAAATACCTCAGTAAATGTCATTTTCTTGAAATGGCGACGACCAGGATGTTACATCAATGTTTTAATGTTATCACAAAGCAGGATTAAAACCCAAAAAGTATTGGTCAATGAAAACTAACTTCAGAAATACTATTACTTAATAGAATTTGACAAGATGTGGTGATTCTTAGTTTAACGTCCATTAAAAAGGTTTACGTGTAGGTATGTTTACATGTAAACAAAATGACAGATGCATTTTGTACGACATCGACCATCATAAAACATAGGCCATTTCTTAGCTTTTATTTCTATTTTAAAGCCGTGTTTAGCACTACTGGAGGTATAAGTATCAATAATCAAGTCTAGACCTGATAATCCAGTGATTGATGTTATGAACAGCGTCGTGATGCCTTGATGTATTACCAACCAGGTCATCGAGGTTATTCAAGTTATAACTATCAATATTTCAAGTTGCCTTACAACCAGAATATAACTGTTCTAACCCTTACATCTGTTTCATCCCTCTCCAAGTGAGTCAATCAGTCCTTTCCTGCAGCATTCCATCGTATGTTGAGATCATCACAACATATTAAATATTTTTTGGGAAATCCCAAACAAATAAATACAAGTGAATACAATTGTCAACTGGGAAAATAGTTTCCATTACCTCAAGATTGGAGGTGTAATCAGGCTTATACACGTAACAGATAAGACTGTTATAAAAACCCGTTAGACAGGAAACTATCACAGGTGCATATTCCTGAGTGACAAGGCTTGCAAACTAATCAAACATGCTTCTAAAAACAAAGTCCCACGAAATATGCCCCGTGCGTGTTGATTGCAGAGTCACAGGGTGCACCATGAGCTGAAATATGTTAACAAATATTATCTCATACAGTTTTGTGAACTTGAGAATTGAAGGTTCTTCAGTACACTCTCCATATGACTCATGTATTGTCCCCTGTATCCTCAACTTATGAATAATAATAAGTATATAAGCTAGTCTAGTCTGAACTACCGGTATGTAAGCCCACTTCAATCACAGAATAATCATAGCTACCATCGTTTTTAATCTTAGAATATTTGTAGTTTTTAGATAAATTGCTAACATTACCTACAATCGCCAGCAGCTGGAGGGATGGTGTAAAATCCATCTGGGGCCCATGCAGGAAGCAAATGTACTATAAGTTCCAAAGGTCCCTAGTATGGTGATCTACCTTCAGTTGTTGGCGATCTGTAGCCCGTGTTTTATATTGTATTGTCTTTAGTTGTACATGCTAGTTTTATATTCATATCTGTGATACTATAGTATATTTATTGTCCTTCGTTAACAGGTTTTAATAATTTACCTATAATTGTCATTAATATATAACTTGATATAGACACGATATGGCTGAAATACTGCCGATGTGACTTAAAATCTTTACTCACGCACTCTCACCTACCAAGATCACCTGATCTATGAAAAATCTTAAATGTTTAATGTGAAATAAAACGAAGTTTGGGACCAGTTCCACCGATATTTACGGTCTGTACCCGGGCCTGTCTTTAATATTCAGTGGCACCATTGAGACGGTTAGGCCTTCATATGTGATGTCTCCATGCGGACTCACTCGGTACTGGCGGAATGAATTTGATCTGAAACACGTCGTATAACCTACTTGCATAAGGCAAGAGCTATGCCATTGAACTACCAATAGTACACCGATTTCATACCATACATACGTATAGTTATTATGTGTCGTGCATGTGACAGTCTATAGGATTTCAAATATATATAAACAATCCCAAGTATTGTGTTGGTTCCTTTTACTTAAAACAGAAAATATCAGTCCATATCCGTGCTCATGGCTTTATTCGAACATTTAGCTCATATTATGTAATATTCATAGACAGATCGCGGCGTTAAACAAAACTCACTCACTCATTCTTGTTATTTCAGTGAACCTAAGAATGTTTTCACATCTTCTGACATACAGAACCATTAAAGACAAAGATGAAACTAAACCAGCTGCCTCCTCATTTACGTTTCCTTTACGTCTGTCGTGTGGACCCGTGAAGATCCGGGGTAGAATAGGTCTTCAGCAACCCATGCTTGCCACAAAAGGCGACTATGCTTGTCGTAAGAGGTGACTAACGGGATCGGGTGGTCAGGCTCGCTGACTTGGTTGACACAGGTCATGGTTTCCCAATTGTGCAGATCGATGTTCATGCTGTTGATCACTGGCTTGTCTGGTCCAGACTCGATTATTTACAGACCGCCGCCACATAGCTTGAATATTGCTGAGTGCGGCGTAAAACTAAACTCACTCACTCACTCAAAACTTTTGCGCAAATTGGTTTACAGTGGGAATCCACGTGGTACTATTACCACCTGTCTGAAAATTTAATGTATGATACCAAATTTTAATTTTAATATTGTGAGTGAGTGAGTTTAGTTTTACGCTGCACTCAGCAATATTCCAGCTATATGGCAGCGGTCTGTAAATAATCGAGTCTAAACCACACACTCCAGTGATCAACAGCATGAGCAATGATCTACGCAATTGGGATACGATAACATGTGTCAGCGAGCCTGACCACCCGATCCCGTTTAGTCGCCTTTCAGCAAGCGTGGGTTACTGAAGATCAATTCTAACCCGGATCTTCACGGGATATTGACAAAGAGAAGAAGACTGAATAATAGGCAAACAAAAGGCCAGACATACAGTTACGTTGAATTCCACATGCCAATGGGTATTCATGGCCCCCAGTATAGCTCAGTATAGATTGACAGAAACTTACTGGGCATGGTATTGGGGAAGGTCAAGCCAAAAGGATGCAGGTAAGAGGCAAACTCCACACAAAGAACAAACTGCGGCAGAGTACAAATGGTAGGTGAAGAATCATGTCAGACAATAGAAGTCAACACCCACGATCATCCCCCAGTCATGTATATCTATCAGGTATAATGGCAGGCCCTCCATTTTATTGTACTCTTTTGCATCTAATTAGGGCTCCTTTGCCTTTAGGCAGGAGACCTATTGTAATCGTTCGTGTTTTTATTATTATTATTATTATTATTATTTATTCTTCCGCCGTATTTTGTACCAGAGCTACAGAGAGCACCGCTGGACAAAATGCCTTGAAAAAAATCACCCAGATGCCCACCGAGGTGTACATATCGCGCTTTAAAATCTGTAGGCTGTAGGCCCAATAGCAAAGGGCAGATAATTCAAAATTAATTCAAAAATTTCAAACGCAAATGCAAATATCTCCAAAACTAATGCTCCAATGTTTGCCGAAGTTCTGGAGCAGATGCGCAATCGAAATGCCTACAATTTCGCCTGGACGGCTCAAGTCGCTAAAATGCACCGTTTGGACGCTATTTGGGATTGAAGTTTTTGGTGATGTTTTTCAGCAAAATCCTGACTGCATACCTCCCAAAATGTGCTGCACTAAAACTGCAAGGGCTACGGCTGTCAAACGTTGCATACTTTGTGTCTATGCATGTGTCTACACAGTAGCATCGTCAAATGTGCCTATGTTTATATGATGGCCGCCATATTGGACGCTACTTTTCGGCAAAAGTTGTCTTCAAAAACTTTCACGGGCTTCTTTGCCATTTTGTGCCAAACGAAACTTACCACATACAACATTTTAAGCGCTTGTTCTGAAGTGGCCTTTCGTTGTTGAACATTTTCTGTTCTTGGTCCTATGTCAAAAGTCACGTGATGCGGCGGCCATATTGGATTGAAGATGTTTCTCGGAAATGTGCAGATTTTGTAGGGTAGGCATTTTTCGCAAGCCATAACTCTGAACGTATGAACTGCAGAACGCTGTAAATGTGCGGATATACAACATATACCTCAATTATTAATGCCCATAAGCTATGTTGCGATATCTTAATTAGTTACGGATATCTAGACGTTTGCTTCTGTTGTTTATTTTGTACTAAAATGTATTTTCAAAAACTCGCAGCAACATTACTATTTCACCTATGCAGCTAGCATCTGGCAATACGTAGTAACTTGGTATGTTGAACATTTTTTGTTCTTGGGTTCATGTCAAAATGTGCATTGCTTGGCGGCCATATTGGATTTCGTCAGATTCTGATGATACTACATTATAAACAGCATAGCTGCTCTAGTTCTGCACAGAAGGCAGTAAAACCTGGCAGCATGCATCAACATAAGATGCTTAACATTTCGTGTTCTTACATGCATATACAAAATTGGATCGTTTGTCGGCCATATGGCATTGAAAATTGCGCAAATGCATTATGTGTCCTACAATCAAAATGCCTACCATTTCGCCTGGACGGCTCAAGTCGCTCAAATGCACCGTTTGGACACGTGAAACGGTGCGTCTGATAGCTGAAGTTCTGACGATTCCAGAACACTAATTGTTTTGAACGTAGACCCAAGGACAACGGAGCTACAGCCTGTCAAAGAGCGAACTATTTCTTCTCCCGAACTTCTTAAAAGGTACATGACCCCGCGCCGACCAGGGGTCAAGTTTCCCAGTCCTCACAGCTCATGTTTTCCAGCTTTAAACACCCGTAACTCGGAAACCAATTTCGACCAAAATTGGGATGTGCATTTATGCCGCCAGTGTCAGTTGTGTGTACCAGTTGCAGCAACATAGCTTCAACGACAACGGAGGGACAAATAATATTCTATTTTCCTCACCACAGTTGCTAATCTTGATTGGTTCTATACTGTGGGCTATGAAAATTGTCAGTGGATATGTCTATGGTTTGCTGATCATTTTTTATTCTAAGGTACATGTTAAAAATATCACCGTTTCGTGGTTAGAGGCAGCCCTGAAAATCCTACAAATCCACTCACTCGCTCGCCGACTTTGTGATGTCTGGAATGTGTCATAACTTTCTCGGAGATTTACGACACGGCAGATTGCCCGTGCAAAGCATGCGACAGTCTGAAGGAAAGCGCAGGGACGATATCTGCTATAAAGAGACTACCACTGCAAAGCGTGGACCACGTGCGGATATGGGAGACGATGTCAATTTCAATTGACAATGACGAGAGCTAGCGCTACACAACATTAAAATACACTGCAGTAGAGGTGCTTTTAGCTGGAAATTGTATCTACACTCACCCGAAAATAAACGTGCAATTACCCATACCATACAACACAATCCTTTGTTTCTAACCCTGAAAACATAAGAATTCAAAGTTTAACACTGAAGTATTTTTCATTACTGACAATGATATGATCCATATCAGCTATAACCTTTACTGCTTTCGACATCAGGTACCAAATGTTTAGAAATTATCCAAGCCAAGGAGACCTCAAGGTTGCCCGCAACTTTAATTATATATCTAATGATAATAATGCAAGCAAGGCACTCCACAAGAGCCAAGGATATTGAATACAATATCAATGTCAGTGTTGATGATTCAGTACTGCTGGATGGTACAGAATGACAATTAACGAAGTGAAGGGAAATATCAAGTCGGCATAGACCCAGCCTTCCTGTGGTCAAAGCGTCCGCTCGCCACGATGAAGACCCGGGTTCGATTCCCCATTTATGGTGTCCCCTGCCGTGATGTTGGTGAAATAATACCAAAAGCGGCGTAAAAGCATACCCACTCACTGAACGATGCTGCAATGAGTTTATGTGCACTCCTGCTCATTCCTCCGCTTGGATGAAGTAGGCTGGGTTAAAAAGTTAATTAGGCGGCTTTCTAATTCCTGTTCAGAACCACTGAGTTCACGCTCCTAGCCGTCATTTTTGTAATTTTACATTAACATGTAAATATGAAACGTAGATTATGTTGTGGATTTAATTAGACTGTCCAACATCTTGTCAGTGGTTGTCCAACTTTACCTCAGACACGGTAAATCAACCGACATTATGGTGTGACTCCTTTTATTAACAGATTCTGCATGATTTTGGTCTTAACTCAGAGGTCTATGCTTCAACGAAGAATATGTAAATGGTGTCATTGAAAATAACACTTATCTGAGGAATAGACTTATATACAGTCTTACGCGTTCCAAGCCAACAAAGCTGACCTTGTTGTTTTTATATAATTGATGGATGTTATATATAATTGCATCTGTCCCTTTAAAACGACATGACACATATGCGGACCTCGTTTACGAAATGCCATACTTGCATGCCAAGTACCAACTTGTCCGACTCCCCATTGTTCTTGGTACCCTTAATTTTGTGTCTTCCAATCTCTGGACTACCTTTGGAAGAGTGTCTGGGTTTGCTTCCAGAAATTAGACAGGATGAAGCAGGAGGTTGAAATGTTTGTGAGTCTGCATATTCTGCGAGACGTTTTTCATTTTGTTTTGGTCTTTTTATTTTGTGGGTTCGCCAAGGCAGTGCTTCCTTTGTGGGTTCGACTCGGCAGCTCTTCCTAGCAGAAAGTCACGTCTGGGCTGCGTGTTAACAGGGCACGGACCCTGAGTTGATGATTGGCGTAAGGATCAAATGAGACAAAGTGTCCTTAACACTCGCTCCTCGCTCGCTCACTCACTCACTCACTCACTCACTCACTCACTCACTCACTCACTCACTCACTCACTCACTCACTCACTCACTCACTCACTCACTCACTCACTCACTCACTCACTCACTCACTCACTCACTCACTCAGGTATTACAAAACGAAAGGGGCGTTGGGGTAGCCTCGTTGTCACACGGAAGATCCGGGTTCGATTCCCCACATGGGTACAATATGTGAAGCCCATTTCTGATGTCCCCCGCCGTTATATTGCTGGAATATTGCTAAAAGCGGCGTAACATCACACTCACTCACTCACTCACTCAATACAAAACGAGAACATTCTTCTTGTATTACAGAACAGAAACTGTTTTATTGTAAAAACGTCTCTCTCTTTTTACAGAACAGAACCAGTGTGACATCACAAGATCATTCGAGATACAATGGTTACATCTTAATCTGTGGTCAATCGCCACGTTACAACGTGTGATCACGCGAACCCAAGTCATTGCCACAAGAGAGCTACTTATAAACCTACTATACAAACAGGTTCTACCTGTAGTTTGTCGAAGTGGGGTCACAAGTAGCAATGGCTTCGTTGGAATTCTTAATCATGTATAATTTGGAATAGGAAAGTATGAAAATAGGAATATAACTGAAACAGTTTGGTGTTACTTGTACCCGGTGTTGTCTCGCTAGGAAAATACCTATATTACCAAAACTGTATCCGAAAAAGGTGAATGTTTAAAAGATTTATACATAGACATGTAGAGGGTCAATATAGAATGTCAGAGAAATTTAGATCCGAAATGGCATTTTTACACTTCTGACGATCCCGTTTTTGAGATAAGTATATTCCTTGGACTGCCTGAAGAAGGACGGTCTACAGCACTTGTCTAACAATGGCCACACTCCCAAAGGAGAGAACTATCCCAATGGTCGATGACGTCACAGCGCTGGGCGTGCCCTGAAACATGTAATCCAATATTGTTAATTTAATGATGCACTCATACTTTATGAAATATACTATTTTTTCTAATTGTACTGGTCTATATTTTGGAACGTCTTGTGCATCTACAACAAAATCCGAATCGTGCAATGCAATTTCATAAAGTTATTATTTCCTCGAACTTTCTGAAACATGCATGTGACAGAGTATTAACCCTGCAAGTGGATCAGTAAATCTCCTGTGGAGTATACACTATAAAACTAGTCAGAAAAGCTGAAAGGTGGTGAAGCCAGCCATTCACATCTACGCCCACCCACTATCTAATCAACCCACCCACACTTTCTACCTAGAACAGTGAACTCTACAACATATTGGAAATGTACTTACTTTGGAGGGCGTTGTACCCCCCTGAAACAACATCAAACAGATACATAGACATAGATATACATGTAACTGGCCTTGTTTCGAATCACAATCTTGGCATGTTATAAATCACATTCATTCCACCAACAGTGTTTAACGATTGACTTGGTGTCAGGTTCGTTTCCATGATGAGTACAGTGTAAGTTGATGATTACTGGTGGCCTCAGATAACTGAGGGAACTAAACTCCGAGTACATCCATTTTCAATCACTCTCTATAAATTATAGCGTAGCTTGACTATCCCATCCTAGTATTTCAGGACATATGTCTTCATCAAAATCAGGGCGGTGGGGTAGCCTAGTGGTTAAAGCTTTCGCTCGTCACGCCGAAGACCCGGGTTTGATTCCCCGCATGGGTACAATGTTTGAAGCCCATTTCTGGTGTCTGATATTGCTGGAATTTTGCTAAAGGCGGCGTAAAAATATACTCACTCACTCACTACTTACTTACTTAATTAATTAATTCCACTTGCAGCCTAAGTGATACGATTTCGACATTCATGATCAGTAAAATAGAAAACAAAAATATTCTTGTATTCTTCATCTCATCAGAGCACACCTTACTATGGTCTTCATGCTATGACAAACTCTCTATCGGTTGAGTTTACAGAGTGACAATTTTTTCCTGTTGCCTGTTGCGGAACTCAAATAAGGCTTTAACACGTACATTTATTCATTGTATTCATGCTTGAAATCAGACCTTGCGTGTCACAAGGGTTTAATAAGCACAAGAATGTTCTATGGGTTTATATATACTGAAGGAAAAATAAGGGATCACATGAAAGCGTTGTATGACTTTTGAGGAAACCTGGAAACAAATATAGGAACACTTGTGCTTTCATGTGTTCCCTTATTTTTTTCCCTCATTTGGAAAGACCAACAAGCAGTTGGTAGCAAAAGTGTACACTTACGCTCTTTGGAGTAGTTGACCCCTGTAGGAAAGAAGACATTCGGTTAGTGAAAGCTTTCGAGATGGACACATACATGTACTATGCAAAGCCACTTACTATGCTTTCATTAATATAGGTCACAAGTGGTATTCAAATGAAAACACTGTTTATACACCCTTTCAGTGGGCAATCGATAACGTCAACGTTGTTAACGCGCAGTCATCAACGGTCCTGCTACAACACGGTGGGCGGAACTCAAATAAAGCTTTAACACGTACATCTATGTATTGAATTCATTATGGGAGTAAGGTCTTACACGACGAGAGTTTAATAAGCGCCAGGTTGTTTTCTATGTTTTAGGTGGACAGGCATGACATGAACCCCCTTTATCAGTGCTTCTAAAGGTTTTAGTGATCCTGATCTCAAAATGACAACATTACATAGATAAATACTCATTATTAATAATAACTATTAAAATAATGTGAACAACCAATTAACTATTAAAGTGTACACTTACGGTCGGTGATGAACCTGTTACCTGTAAGAAAGAAAAGAATCAGTTTGGGAGTTTCAAAACTTTCAACATTGATACATACCTCTCCAAACCACGTATTAAGTGTGCATCAATATGGGTCTGATGTTTTAACATTCAGTGGTACGTTCTGACACATTGTGAATACATAACAAGTGGTATTCTAATAAAAGCACTGGATGCATCCTTTCAGCGTGAATTCGATGACGTCAACGTTGTTTAACGCCGTATTCAGCAATGTTCCAGCTACACCACGGTTTCTCCAAACAAACTGGTGACTGAAAAGATGGATACCTTCAGCATGTTCAAACACACGGACTGTTGAAAATGTGAGCAGCTTCCTGTCATTTAGGATCTGGTCTGATTTCAACCAATGTACAGAAGATAGTGAATGCGTTCCGTTTCTGTAAAACATACTTGTTTAGGTATGTGATGACTGGGAGTTTGCATTAAGAATATATACATTAATTTTATAAAAGAGGCAGTATAATGCAACTTACGCTCCCTTCTGAGCCATAATATATATTTGGTTAATATATCTAAAACAAAACACCTACGAAAAGATATAGTTTTAAATGAAAATTGGTCGGGAACTTCAGTTATGGCTGAAGGATCCATGACAGCTTTATAACTTTCCTGAATTCCCACATCCATGACGAACGTGAAATGCACCCGTTCTTCAACAATACTAACATTTGTAAAGTATATCGAAGTGTTTTAAATATTTTGAAATAATGGGCCTATGAACTTCGTCCAAAAGAAAATCACCAATAGATCGATCCCACTAAATTTATAGTGGCAGCTGTTAACAAGTTACACAGCATTTCCAACCGAAATAACCCCGATCAGCATATTTAAGGATGACGAAATGATTGGTATGGGTAAGTCCTCATGTGTTCTATACTTACCAAAGGTAATGTTCCATTTGTTGTTGTGTCTGAAAAAGAAGAATTGTATGTTAGGAGTCAGGTTTTCTGAAAGATTCCATCCTCAAACAAGTGAAGTGTAATGGAACAATAAGCTTACTTACTTGTACTTACAAGTTTGTTTAATTCCTTAATCTACAATATTACAGCTACATCTCGGGGCAGGTACATGTAAATACTGGAATCTAAACAAGCGGTTGATAACATGAACATGTCATGGTAACATACAACCACAAAACCTGGGTAGAATGAATATGAGTACATAAGTTAGTGCAGAGCTTTGATAGTTAAACCGACAAGCAAGCGTTGTATACAAGTCTACCAACAAAGGTTATATACAAGCCTACAAACAATCGTTGTATACAAGCCTACAAACCAACGTTGTATACAAGCCTACAAACAATTGTTGTATACAAGCCTACAGGCAAAAATTGCATACAAGCCTACAAGCAAACGTTGTATACAAGCCTACAAACAAACGTTGTATACAAGCCTACAAGCAAACGTTGTATGTATACAAGCCTACAAGCAAACGTTGTATACAGGCCTACAAACAAAAGTTGTATACTAGCCTACAAGCAAACGTTGTATACAAGCCTACAAACAAACGCTGTATACAAACCTAGCCTAAAGCAAACGTTGTATACAAGCCTACAAGCAGACGTTGTATACAAGCCTACAAGCAAACGCTGTATACAAGCCTACAAGCAGACGGTGTATACAAGCCTACGAGTTCTGATAGTTGTGCTGCAGCGTTGTATAAGTGAAATCTTCATTTCTAGTTTGGATGTATGGTTGTTCAAACAATCTAAGACGTCCAATTTTCCTTTGAGAGATTGCTTCCCTTAGACATGCCCGGATTCTGCATCCAATCCCATTCTCAACCATGATAACTTCTTTAAGTAGCAGCCATGATGGTGTGATTAAATAATGTCCAAAGTGGGATTAAACAAGCCTCACTCTCTAGATTGTGTTCTCTTCTTTCAAACAATTCATGATTATCATAATTCCATTGCGAAAGTTTGATATGAAATTATTTTTTAGCATCATTTAAGTAAGTTATACATGACATTTATAATGGTGCACATCAAACTACACTCACTTTTTGCCCGTGTCTTCATCACGGCCACGCCGACTATCAGCACCAACAGTGGAATGATGGCTCGCATTGTCAGGTCTTACTTGAAAGTAGGAATGATCTGAAAACGAAACACTCGATATATACTCAGATCGCTGCGTGATTACAGAAAAGGCATGTTCTGTCATTTCACGGACAGTCTTCAAAAAAGGCCAATAATGGTAATGTAAAAGGACCCATATAGGTTATCACGCGAGTGTGATTTGGGATGGTTAATATCCTGCATTAGGAATAATCATTGTATTTAGCGAGCCTTGATAACCTATTTATCATACAAAGACATTTTTGCTTTATAACTTACAAAAATGCCATTTCAAATGCCAGAAATCATGAAACTAAACTTCATGGAATGTCTATGACGTCACAAATATGTGCGGAGTAATACGTTACGTCACAAGTCCGGTGACATCATTTTCTCCTGATCACTCAGCTGACTGCGTTAGGTCATCTAGTTCCCAGTAAGCTTTTATGCTAAATCACGTATTGTTATCAACAAATCTTAGCTTACGTTTAAAAAATAACAACAAACTCGCGTGGAACTTCAGAAACCTTCAGTTAACCTTTTGAACAACAAAATACGCTTTAATGTTAGCGTGACATTGTGCACCTGGATTCCTATGCCGTTCTCTCGCTAACACTGACAGTCGGTCGGGGAACTGATGTTGGTATCTTCGTAAGCCTATGTATTTCTATCTTCGCTTTGTAATCTACTCCATCTATCATAACCAGGCATGAATTTTCTTGGAAAAAATCACTGACAGTACAGTAACCACGGCCGTCAGTCCGGATACGACCGCCGACCCTTGACGCCATGTTTGTTTACCTGAAATTTGCATATGACCTCTCTAATTTGCATCGATATCCGTATACGACCCCAACGGATACCGAAAATATCCGTTGGCTTTATCCTGCCGAGAACACTATCCATTGTGTGATAAATAAAGATACTGGCTGATGTTTTGACATAACCTGTTTAGAATACCTTATGAAATTTTTGTTTGTAAATGTTTAGCAGGACATGCTTACCCTTTTCTAAAACACCAGGTGTTATAACTGATTTTCATTTGTATAATTGTCACAGCTATTTTACATTTTAAAGAATAATAATCATCTTTATGAAACATCTTTACAAACATCCAGTGAGTGTTGATTCGCTGCAACAAATGTCTATGGACAAAAGACAGCTGCATGGAATATATGTTGATAAGCATGATAGAATTTGAAATTCTCTGATGGCAATGCCCTTGAACATCAGGGTTAGAACTGGTCTTCAGCAACCAAAGCTTGTCGTAAGAGGCGTAAACGGGATCCGAAGGTCAGGCTCGCTGACTTTGTTGACGCATGCCATCGCATCCCAATTGCGTAGATCGATACTCATGATGTTGATCACTGGGTTATCTGGCCCAGACTCGATTATTTAAAGACCGCTGCCATATAGCTGGAATTTTGCTGAATGCGGCGTTAAACAACAAACCAACACACACATCTGATGACAATGGCCAGGTTGTTCCAATGAGAGGCAGATACAGAGGAGAAAGTTCTCAAAATGACTTAAGGAACAAAATTCAACAGGATGTTGTTTGATCTGAGAGATGTGCTGAGTACATATGGTTTGATTGACAGATATGATAGTCTCAAATGGAATCAGAGTCTGAGGGTAGGCAGGACTGGGTATTCAGTTGCACTGACGTAATACATCTCACTAACCCTGCAGAACTCCTCCAATCAACCCTCCCCTTGAGAAACTATGAAAATTGACACTTATAACATACCTGAGTAACTACGTGTCCCCTGCGGTCGTCCTCCTGTCTTCCTCTGTTGGGATACTTGGGCGGGACCTTTTTAAATGGTGCTTGGGTTGTTTCATTTTTCAAGATAGGGTGACTTTTGTCAATTAATATTAAAGACTGTATGAGTCAGTGTGCAGTATCAAAGTTTAAACATTTTTAAATTTGGGTTAACGACACCCCTTTCTCGTGAATGAGTTAGTCAGACGATTATTGTTCATAGTAACGCTCGATATCGAGTTTGTTTACCGCTGCCATGGAAACAAGTACAAATCAATGTATATCACTCAACAGGCACATGTTAATAAAATTATATATATATTTTTTTTAAATTACGATTCTTGACCACCTTTACGTGACATAAGTAAGGGCAATGTTTAATTGATCAGGGGAATGTGTTCATTATTGTGGACTTTTCACGTAGTGATCACGTGTTTAAATATCTCTGTACATGTTGCACCTAGTCATGACTCCTAGCGGATCGTGTACAAAATGGGCACAGTTAGTTAAATACCTCAGTAAGTGTCATTTTCTTGAAATGGTGACGACCAGGAAGTTACATCAGTGTTTTAATGTTATCACAAAGCAGGATTAAAACCCAAAAAGTATTGGTCAATGAAAACTAACTTCAGAAATACTATAACTTAATAGAATTTGACAAGATGTGGTCATTCTTAGTTTAACGTCCATTAAAATGGTTTACGTGTAGGTATGTTTACATGTAAACAAAATGACAGAAGCATTTTGTACGACATCGACCATCATAAAACATATGCGATTTCTTAGCTTTAATTTCTATTTTAAAACCGTGCTCATCACTACTGTAGGTACAGGTGTATCAGGTTTAAGTCTAGACCTGATAATCCAGTGATTGATGTTATGAACAGCGTCGTGATGCCTTGATATATTACCAACCAGAATATATGTGTTCTAACTATTACATCTGTTTCATCCCTCTCACATGTGTGTCAATCAATCCTTTCCAGCATTCCATCGTATGTTGAGATTATTACAACATATTAAATATTTTTTGGGAAATAAATACAAGTGAATATAATTGTCAACTGGGAAAATAGTTTCCATTACCTCAAGATTGGAGGTGTAATCAGGCTTATACACGTAACAGATAAGACTGTTATAAAAACCCGTTAGACAGGAAACTATCACAGGTGCATATTCTTGAGTGACAAGGCTTGCAAACTAATCAAACATGCTTCTAAAATCAAAGTCCTACGAATATGCCCCATGCGTGTTGACTGCACCATGAGTTGAAATACCTTAACAAATATTATCTCATACAGTTTTGTGAACTGGAGAATTGAAGGGTCTTCAGTACACTCTCCGTATGACTCATGTATTGTCCCCTGTATCCTCCACTTATGAATAATAATAAGTATATAAGCTAGTCTAGTCTGACCTACCGGTATGTAAGACCACTTCAATCACAGAATATTCATAGCTACCATCGTTTTTAATCTTAGAATATTTGTAGTTTTTAGATAAATTGCTAACATTACCTACAATCGCCAGCAGCTGGAGGGATTGTGTAAATCCATCTGGGGCCCATGCAGGAAGCAAATGTACTATAAGTTCCCACGGCCCCTAGTTTGGTGATCTCCATTCAGTTGTTGGCGATCTAAAGCCCGTGTTTTATATTGTATTGTCATCCTTAATTTAAATGTTTTAGTTGTACATGCTAGTTTTATATTCATATCTGTGATACTCTAGTATATTTTTTTGTCCTTCGTTGACAGGTTTTAATAATTTACCTATAATTGTCATTAATATATAACTTGATATAGACACGATATGGCTGAAATACTGCCGATGTGACTTAAAATTTCAACTTACGCACTCTGACCTACCAAGATCCCCTGATCTATGAAAAATCTTAAATGTTCAGTGTGAAATAAAACGAAGTTTGGGACCAGTTCCACCGATATTTACGGTCTGTACCCGGGCCTTTCTTTAAGATTCATTGGCACCATTGAGACGGTTAGGCCTTCATATGTGATGTCTCCATGCGGACTCACTCGGTACTGGCGGAATGAATTTGATCTGAAACACGTCGTATAACCTACTTGCATAAAGCAAAAGCTATGCCATTGAACTACCAATAGTACACCGATTTCATACCATACATACGTATAGTTATTATGTGTCGTGCATGTGACTATCTGTAGGATTGTAGTATTGTTTTTGTTCCTTTTACTTAAAACAGCAAATGTCAGTCCATATCCGTGCCAATGGCTTTATTCGAACATTTAGCTCATACTACGTAATATTCATAGTCAGATCGCAGCGTTAAACAAAACTCACTCACTCATTCTTGTATTTTCAGTGCACCTATGAATGTGTTCACATCTTCTGACATACAGAACCGTTACAGACAGAGATGTATCTAAACCAGTTGCCTCCTAATTTACGTTTCCTTTATGTCTGTGGACCCGTGAAGATCCGGGGTGGAATAGGTCTTCAGCAACCCATGCTTGCCACAAAAGGCGACTATGCTTGTCGTAAGAGGCGACTAACGGGATCGGGTAGTCAGGCTCGCTGACTTGGTTGACACATGTCATCGGTTCTCAATTGTGCAGATCGATGGTCATGCTGTTGATCACTGGCTTGTCTGGTCCAGACTCGATTATTTACAAACCGCCGCCACATAGCTTGAATATTGCTGAGTGCGGCGTAATACTAAACTCACTCACTCACTCTGTGGTGTGGGATAGTGGTGCACAGAGATGAAAAATCAAGTCTTCACATAAAGAACAGGTTCTTTCCTGAAATTCTCAAAACTTTGAAGCAAATTGGTTTACAGTGGGAATCCACGTACTATTACCACCTGTCTGAAAATTTAATGTATGATACCAAATTTTAATTTAATATTGTGAGTGAGTGAGTTTAGATTTATGCTACACTCAGCAATATTCCAGCTACATGGCAGCGGTCTGTAAATAATCGAGTCCGAACCACACACTCCAGTGATCAACAGCATGAGCAACGATCTACGCAATTGGGATACGATAACATGTGTCAGCGAGCCTGACCACCCGATCCAGTTAGTCGCCTTTCAAAAAGCGTGGGTTACTGAAGATCAATTCTAACCCGGATCTTCACGGGTTATTGACAAAGAGAAGAAGACTGAATAATAGGCAAACAAAAGGCCACACATACAGTTACGTTGAATTCCACAAGCCAATGGGTATTCATGGCCCCCAGTATAGCTCAGTATAGACTGACAGAAAGTTACTAGGCATGGTATTGTAGAAGGTCAAGCCAAAAGGATACAGGTAAGAGGCAAACTCCACACAAAGAACAAACTGCGGCAAAGTACAAATGGTAGGTGAAGAATCATGTCAGACAATAGAAGCCACCACCCACGATCATCCCCCAGTCATGTATATCTATCAGTCATAATGGGAGCGTGTGGTTTGAGGCCCTCCATTTTATTGTACTCTTTTGTATCCAGTAAATATCTAATCATAATAATGCAAGCAAGGCACTCCACAAGAGCCAAGGATATTGAACACAGTATCAATGTCAGGTTTTGGTGATTCAGTCTTCTGGTTGGTACAGAATGAAAATTAACGAAGTGGTTGTCCAGCGTTAGCGGAGACACGGTATCTCAAGCAACATGATGGCGTGACTCTGTCCTTTTACTACGCGATTCACCTTGCTTGTGGTTTTGGCTCAAAGGTCCCTCCATGCTTCAGCCAAGAATTTGTAGATGGCGTCATTGAAAATAACAGTTAGACTGAGGAATAGACCTATATACAGCCTTAGACGTATCCAAACCTCGACATGTAACCATGTCGTTGTTATAAAATTGATGGATTTTTTTATATAATTAAATATGTCAATTTTGACAAGATTCAAGAAAAAACATGACACATATGTGGACCTCGTTTACGAAATACCATACTTGCATCCCAAGTAGCAATTTGTCTGGCTCCCACTTGTACTTGGTACCCTTTGTTTGTTGCTAGGGGTGTCGCGATACGCGAATGTATCGATGCATCGATACATTTTTACTGACGATACGATACGCAATATATGCTTGCGCGTATCGATTCCTATTTTAAAACGTTATCGATTCAATTTTTTATGCTATATCCATCTCCTTCGAAGTCTTGATAGTAAAATTATACGAGATCGCTCCGATAAACAGATGTAGCTAGCTTTACTTAAAAAATAGGTTGGAAACTAACAGCTTTTGTGATTGGCTTGACTATTTTGATGGACCAATCAGCGAGCGCGTACGTTGCCGGTAAGGTAATGCTATGAAAAGGCGCGAAAATTATGTATCGCGATACGTATCGTATCGTGACCTTAAAATCGTGATACGTATCGTATCGTGAGATTGGTGTATCGTGACACCCCTATTTGTTGCCATCCAATCTCTGGACTATCTTTGGAAGAGTGTCTGGGTTTGCTTCCAGGAACACCGCCCTTGTGATAGACAGGGTAAAGCTTGAAGCAGATGTGTTGGGGAATCTACATATTCTCCGAGGCGTTCTTGGTGTGTTTCCTAGGCAGCGCCTCCTGGTAGAAGTCCCATTCGCTACCTGGGCTGCGTGTAAAGCGGAATCGGTCCATGACTCTAACCTTATTTGCTGTATCGATGTATATATATCAATAAATAATAATAGATTGATTGATGATCAATGACATTTAGAGGTGATACAAGTAAGGAAGAGAGCTTCATGGATGTCAACCTCTTTATTATGAGAAAAAACACGTTTCAGAGTATTTCCTTACTCACCTCATGAAGTAGTAAGGATATACTCCGAAACATTTAGTTCCTCATAATAAAGAAGTTGACATCCATAAAACTCTCTTCCTTGTTAATTGTTGATGTCTGTGTATAGAGTGAATGTGGATGTGTGCGTGCGTGCGTTCCAGTATACCGCGCCTAGACTTTGTGATAACCTCTTTGGTCTTACCTGACAGGATATAATTTCAAGGACAGTTAGTTCCTTTTGACTGATGTACAATCAACACCACACCCATGCTGATGGATTTCACCAAAGGGACACCCGTTTCAGACTGTATTGGCTATTCAAACCCATTATACTGA